ACAATGATCTGGAACTTGGGTGAAGTGCGAAACTCAATTAAAAGCAACGACCAGAAAGTTGAGTGCAACATCTAATCCAATCAATAACAATGATCTGGAACTTGGGTGAAGTGCGAAACTCAATTAAAAGCAACGACCAGAAAGTTGAGTGCAACATCTAATCCAATCAATAACAATGATCTGGAACTTGGGTGAAGTGCGAAACTCAATTAAAAGCAACGATCAGAAAGTTGAGTGCAACACCTAATCCAATCAATGACAATGATCTGGAACTTGGGTGAAGGGCGAAACTCAATTAAAAGCAACGACCAGAAAGTTGAGTGCAACATCTAATCCAATCAAAGACAATGATTTTGAACTTGGGTGAAATATCAAAAGATGTATAAAACAAAGACTGATAATTCTATAGACTTTAACCACCTCCAAGAAAACTGCCGTTTAGAGTAGAAAGAGTAAGAAATATGATTTGCTTCTTTACAAACAGGTTTCAAAAGATGCCAACTAAGAAGTTTTTTTGTATTGTAACATAATATTTTTTTGTAGTTTACAACCCGATTTCAGATACATTGTATTATATTTTCATTTCTTTGTGGTTTAGTAATATCAAAACAGCTGAAAAATGACATTGGATGATTTTGAGGTCGCTTTGTTGCTGTATATCCTCAAATTAAATCATGATCTTCTGGGTACATCTACTTTCATCCATCCCTACAAATATTCTCCAATGTGTAATTATATTTATTTTCAGTATATATATATGCATGTTTATAACTGTTCCTGTTAGAGGGAAAATAATGCTTGTTCAGTGAAAATTGGCTCTTATTGTGAGTACAAATTTTAACATGGATATTTATTTCAGATTCTCAGACACTTCAAGCCCTTGCGTTTGTATTGTTTCTAGGAGAATTTCACCCATAACTTCTTACACACAACAATATTGCGCCATATTAAATAAAAAAACGATAAAATATTATTAAAATCTCAAATTTATTTCTTCACATAAAAATGACCTTACAAAGCGAAAAAAGCTTTGAAATATATCAAACGAGTAATGAAAAAGAGCTTGCACACTAAGGTAATTATTGTGACATCTTAAAGAACATCAGCGCTGTACTAAACAAAATTATCTGAAACGTAGTAAATAACGATAATTCTATTGAAGTACTTACCTCTATTGTCGCTAAAGTACAAGATATACCCACGAATTTGACGAAGTTCAAACAATACAATTTTCAAATTATCAATAAAAAAAAAGACATAAGTTTAGTTAATAAAGCTTCACATAAAATTACTTGTGATTTTCACAAGTATTACGGGAAGTGTCACGTAAAAATATCGGATCTTCCGCTGGACGCAAAAATGCAAAACATGAAATCAAGAATGACTGCATGTTTCCAAAGGAGTCAAAACATGAAATCAAGAATGACTGCATGTTTCCAAAGGAGTCAAAACATGAAATCAAGAATGACTGTATGTTTCCAAAGGAGTCAAAACATGAAATCAAGAATGACTGCATGTTTCCAAAGGAGTAAAATGACAATCAATGTTTTGTGGATGAGGAATATTATATTTTTTTTAACAGAAATAAAAACTGGGTTTCTTCAATTTAGAAATTCACTATAAAAATATATTTATACTGGAAGTATTGATTTGTTGCAGTGCTTGAGGTAAAATTGTTGAATGAATACTGTATTTATCATAAAAGCTTTTACAAGGTAAATACTGAAGCTGATACCAATAAAACAATTTACCTTGACATTTTACTCACTAATGGTAATCTTACCGTGTAACAATTGTCTTCATAGTAAAGATGTATTGTATGCCTCTAAGCCAATTTAATTAATATTTTCACAAGATATTCTTAGCTTTTCTGACTGAAATAGAAACACCAATGCTTAAACTACAGTATAAAATTATGAATATTTTCTTATTTAAGTTTCGGCAAAGTTTCCAGCTCTCTAGAGACTTTTCATGGTATTTCTTGACGGGTTGAAGTGACAGTCGTGCTGATATTCCCAAGACATAGGCCACAAGATTGAAATAAAGGGTCCAGTGCAGTACGAATAACTCCGCTCCATACCTGTGAACACAGTGCAGGAAAATTTAACTTCGTGCATTTCTCATACTCTTAAGACTTTCTAGAGAAATAATTCCCACTTTATCTTATATTAGATTTATTCACACTTTATCTTATCTTAGATTTATTCACACTTTATCTTATCTTAGATTTATTCACACTTTATCTATCTTAGATTTATTCCCACTTTATCTATCTTAGATTTATTCACACTTTATCTTATCTTAGATTTATTCATACTTTATCTTATCTTAGATTTATTCATACTTTATCTGCAAGTTGTTATTGCGTTAGTAAAAAACTACAAAATATACGCGCGGCACACCGCGGGATTCGAATCCCAATTCTAGCATTATAAATACCTAAACTTACCGCTGACCCATCGGAGGATTTATATATATATAAGCAAAAACTATCATTTCAGTTTTAATAGCTTGCTACTTTTATATTGTTCCTCGGATGCATTATATCGTCACATATTTAATATTTCCTAAACCACTAAAAATGTTTCACTTTTTTTCTGCAATAAGAAATGGTCAGACTCAGTTAACTAACTACAGAAAGAACACAGTGTGACTGTATAATATGTATTTAAAGGTACAATAAAAAAGAGTATACATGGATGATGTACATAACAATAGAACGTCTATCCCGAAGTGTTAGTCACTTTGATTTTGTCATGCAATGTTTTTACAAAATAACACTTAGAGAACCTGGCTGTTTAATTTTAAAAAAATACGCTGAACGTTTTTTATACTTTTATAAGGCAGCATTAAGTAAATATTTTTTATGTCTTATTTGCAATTAAGATGTACGGCCTCACTCCAACTGTTATTCATTATTAACTAAATATTCTCATTCCAACAATTGTTGTCCCCCAGTGGGTCAGGGTTAGTTAAAGGACGTACAACGCTAAAATTTGGTAGGCAGAATACAGATAGTCTATTGTGTACCTTTGTGCTCAAACACACAAACTATTGTTTTATTCTTAGCTAAATATTATTATTCCAACAATTGTTCACTTTTAAACTAAATATTCTTAACCCAACCATTGTTCCGCTATTGACTACATATTCTTATTCCAATCTCTCAGTCATTGAATAGAATTACAGAGCCTTACAAAAGTATTCATCCACAACCAATAATGTCACATTTTAATGAACTTGTTTTTATTCAAAACTCTAATGATCAAACTTAACACTGTTATGTGTGATAGAAGTTGAATGTCAGCAAAACCTGCAAATAAAATATATAAATTGAAATTTGCTGATTGTGTAAGTATTCAACTCCCTAAGTCAGTACTTGGTGGAAGCACATTTGGTAGCACCTTACTGCTGTCAGTCATTTTGGATAAGTCTCTACCATCTTTGCACAATGGGATAGTGTAATTTTTGTTCATTCTTCCTGGCAAAATTACTCCAATTCTGACAAGTTCGTTGAGGATCGTTAATGGATTGCAATTTTTAAGTCTCGCCATAAATTTTCTAAGACTTTGACTGGACCACTCCAGAACATTCACTTTCATCTTTTGAAACCACTCTAGCGTGTTTTTTGGCCTTGTGCTTCGGGTCATTGACCTACTAAAATGTGAATTTTGAC